ATAAAATCCCAGCTCCTCCGAATGACAACCGCAGCCATATTTTGATTAAAGAAAAAGTTGCATTTGTATCTGAAATCCCTTTGCGGACTTTTCGCATGGCGGTAATGTTTTTGCGTGCTGTCAACACAAATATTTGACCACACAACAAAAAAGTTACAGAAACAATGCCCTCAACAACAAAAGTTTTCAGCATCGGCTACAAACAGCAGAAACAACTGAAATCCGCAAAACAACCGATTCATATTTCCGACAATATTCGATTATTTTAATGTTCATTAAAATAACAGACGAAGGTATCTGTGGCTTGCAGAAAGTTTTTATATTGATAGCAACCAATTATAATTGGCAAACCAATTTAGATTCTCATTTTTAGTAAATTGAATTTAAAATCACATAAAATATAAGACACTTACTATAAAATGTTTTAAAGGGACTTTGTAAAACACAATGTATACTTAAGTCATTTATACCTTTATTACCTATTCATAAAACTGCCTGAAAAACGGAAACAACCAAGATACATGTCGCAAGGTTCGAGGGTCGCAGATTCGAGCACACGATACAAGGACACATATATATATTCAGATTCCCATACTATATATATAACGTATGAATAAACATATGACCCTGCAAATGTGTCAACGGGACGCGCGAAATGCAAATGAAAATGATATGTGTTTACATGCGGGGGCCAAGAGTCAAAAACTGTTGTCTGTCAGCGAAATAAAAAGGGAGTCCTGAAATCCCCGGCGGACTAACAACAGACATCACATCCCACATCTCCGGCCTCTTTTCGATGCTCCCCATAAATTTGGATGACAGCCGAGGTGACAACGTGTCAACAGGCGCCGCGGGCGGCTGCCACGCCCGCCGAATCACAACGCCCACTCACCCACACAGACTCACTTATATGGCGGTCATAAACCGAATGTCAAATGTCTGGCAAATCGGGCAATTAAAGATCCGCTTTAAGAAGAGCCTGAAAACATGAACTCCCACTCTTTAAATGATTGATTTTCGGCAGCAGAAATTAAGGAAAATTAAAGTGGTGGGGGTTTTAAACTGGTCTCATTTTATATGCTATTTAAGCTTAGTAAGCCACGTGCGTTTTTTACAGCTGGTGAATAACCAGGTGCCAGTGGCGATCCAAAATTTTGTGGGGGTATAACAAATGTGTCCATAAAAATAAAAATTTGGAATAAAATACTATTACATATACTTTTAAGTTAACAATTAAAAATTTTAACCCGATTGGGATATATATATCCCCCGTGGATCCGAGCATGAAGGGGCGTAGATGATATTTATGAAAAAAAATATTTCTAATAAAAAACAAAAAATTTAAAAATTTTATTTTAAAGTTTTTAATTTAAAAAACAATTGCCTTGCTCAAAATTTTTAAGATTCAAGGAGAATTTTTTTGGGTTACCAAACGCATTTTATAGAGATGTTTCGTTTGAAGATAACTCTTACTTTGGAATTTTATAGGAAAATACTAATAACAAATTTAAAATTTTTTTATTTAAGAAGTACTTGTTAAGGACTATATAAATTATATTTAAATGAATATTAAAAACCTTCGGCATTATATTTAATAAGTACATTTTTAAGGATCTATATAAATGTTATACTTGTAAATTATTTTTCAAAATTTTACAACTGAAAGTGCTATCTCAAAGATACCTTCCTCCGGCCATATTTTTAAGATTCCCCCTTGACCATATCCTGCCTCCGCCCCTGTGTTGTTTCTTATCACGGGTATTGTTCATGCTGCTATCGCCGTTGTAAGTGGCTGTCGCTGTCATCTGCCAGAGGCAGGGAAATAAAGGAAATGGGATGAGATTCGCTACTTGCCCCCAACTCTGGAGTTCAATTTGTTCCACTCATATTTCTGTGATTTGTTATTGAAATTGTTATTGTTGCTGGTTGTGCGTGACAACAACCAAGGACGAGTTGCGCCGGCTTATTTTATAATCACAGCAATTTTCGAGCTGGGCTCAATGAATTTTTCTCGGCTCACATATTTGCATTTTATTATCGCCCGCCCTTTTTATTGACGTAAATCATTTAGCCTGTTTTTGTGTGTGTATGTTTATCCAAGTACGCGTGGGTTTTATTTGCCGTCAGGTATTTGATATTTTATTTCTGATTGCCTCGGGATTTATGTTGATGTTTATTCTGTTTGCTTATTTGTAAAATAATTTAAAAGGATTTTCCACGAATTCAACCAATTTAAGGTGAGAAAAATAAAAAGAAAGGTTTGATTATTTCATTGTGGTGCAATGTAATTTTATTCATAGAGGCTTAGTGAAAAAATCAGAGGGTTATTTTTTATGACACAAAGTGTATTCATTTAAATGTTTTCTGTCAAGCGATTAGATGGTTTTAGATCCTAAAGGATTGGCTTTTATCCAATTAAATTGTAATCAACTAATGTTTTGTTAGAAATGCAGATGATCTCATCATTCATAAGGCATTAAACATCATTCTATTTTTTTTTTGCTGTGATAGACAGAAATAAACTTGACCTAATCGGTTGACCGAGGAAAGACAAACCCAAACCCTTTTGGCCAGTCATTTCCTTCCTATTAGGTTCGTTTGCTGGGCAAACAGTTTTCAGCAGAGATGTATCTAATTGATGGAGGGCTGCTGTTTGAAGGAACTGAAACTAAAATTGAAATCGATGCCGCCGCAGAAACCCAAGTAGGAAAGTCCAACAAAGGCCCACACACATGTGGCCAACACGCCAGGTCCATTCATAAATCATCACATTTTCACCCGATTTTTCCCCATTTTTCGCATGGGAATTGTTTGCCTGGGTTCAGCAACGCGGAAAAAAAGTACAAATATTTGTTATGGTAGCTCACACAAAGGCTTATGTTGTCATGGACGAGGGTATACACATACACATAATATAGTATAGTATATCTTCCATTTTGTATGCTCGGGTTTTTCACCCGACATTGTTTTGTCATTCACTCAATTTGGCAAACAACCGAATCATTAGCTGGACCTTCTATTTCCATTCCGGCGCCGCCGCCGCCTTTATATCCACTTAAACTTACAACAAATTAAATAAGTTTCAACTCATTTACCAAGTCATTTTCCTGCCAACTTTGCTCGTCATCAGCTTCCCCGGCTATTTGTGTTTCAGTTTAGTTTTATGACGACTCCACTCGCCCCCTTTTTTTGCCCCATTTTATCCCATTTTCAGACCCATGCAAAGCAAAATCTACACAAAAGAAATCAGCAAAAATTTATTTACCCTGACTTTGGCAGCGGAACTGGAAAACGGGAAAGTTTTGCGCTTTTGTTTGAAATTTGTTTCGCATTTGTAAGTTGAAATGCCTTACCCTAAGAAAGGCGGCATAACACCAGAAAAAAAACAAAAAATAAGACTGAAACACAAATAAAAGCTTTGTCCTGCTCCTCAAAGGAGAACCAAGGAACCAGGTTCCCCGAAAACCATCCCAGACAGACCCAAATTTCAGGTTCCGCTTGCTTTTTCCCGGAAAAAATGATTCCCATCTCTTTTTTTAGCCGGCCAGTGCCAGCTCTTATTCAATTTAACCTGATTTCCACAGTTTCTTGGGCTTTCAGGTTTGCAGCTTAAACAAATTTCCTTCATTTTAAAGGTTTGCTACCGTCTGCTGCCCAAATTGATCTTATTGACACTTTACTTACGGCCCAAATGGCCTGAGACGGCCCTATTTTTAGCCAAACCCAATGCCGTGTCATTTGTAACATTTTCGCTTTGGACTCGGGGGCTTAGAATTATTGCAATTTGAGCGCTTGATGGGCGCGAAATCGGGGACTGGAAAATATTGCCTGGCCATAAACAAATCCTTATGGCAATTTCTTTTTGCAAAAGAAAGTGCTCCGGTATTCAACAGATGCCAGTGCCTTTGAGTCTTCTCATTTAAACTGGGAAAGTGGATGAATGAAATGGCCTCGTCATTAGGTCAATTTGTTAGAAGTGAACATTTTTTAAAATGGCTTTTCAGAGAAGTGCCTTTAATTTCCATGGTAAATATATTATGATATGCTGTTAAAGCGGAACCTTTTAGATTAAATTTTAAAGTACATAACATTTATTCCATTTACATTTAAATTACATTCAAGGAAATATTTTTATTGCTTCCCAAAACGAAATCCTAAGACCCCACGCTTATCGATCCATCATCGCCTCGAACCTATCTCATTTTCTGAAGGCTGACTCGTTAAGAAATTCCTTTTCCCAGCGGCTATACGGATTCTTGTTCGACCAGATTCTGGACACAAATCCCGCGCCCAAATCTCAGGGCACACGCAAACAGCAGAGTAAACACCAGTATCACTCACCAAAAATGCCGGATGCTCAACCTCCAACCTCCTGGGAAACCAAGCTATTTACACAGGGAAAAAATGATATATGTATTCTATTACAAGGTGCTGAAAATAAGCTATATTTAGGGATATTTTTTTAAGGCCTATGATAGTTGTTATAAAAATACAAATAATAATAGTCAAGTTACTACCTTTTAGTATTAATCTTTCCGGTTTAGGAACACACGAATGCATGGTATATTAGAGGCTATAAATTCTTGGTAATTTTTTCTCAGTGCACACACAATCGTACTTTTATGGGGCGAAGGCGAGAGTGCCGCGCTGAGTTATGACGTCCAACAGCTGTGCAAAACGATGGCCACAGCATCGGGAATAGCCGCTCATATATGGGCCAGTTGGTCTGAAATATGTTGCATAAGCCCCCTCGGGAGGGGCGGGCAATATCATTGGGGCTCCCGGGGAAAATGTGGGTGGAAAACCGAAAAAAAAAGCGAGGGAGTATTAAATAAAAATGGCCAGGCGACAGTTGGGGCTTGCATTGTTGCCAGACCAATCGTAAATCGTGTGTGTACTCATAGGTGGAAAGTATTGCAGTCACTTAATACAGTCATAAGTCGGGCGGGGAATATTTACAAGCTGGCAGAGAATACAATGGAGAACTGCTTCATCCGCAGGATACTTCCCGCTGGGTCGGAGCACTGCCTGACCTGGATCTGCCTGGATGTCCTTTTCTGCACGGCCAGCATCATGCACCTGTGCACCATCTCCGTGGACCGTTATTTATCGCTACGCTACCCTATGAGATTTGGCCGGAATAAAACACGTCGGAGGGTCACCCTTAAAATTGTTTTCGTGTGGCTCCTGAGCATCGCCATGAGCTTGCCCCTCAGCTTGATGTACTCGAAGGTGAGTAAATGTTTTGGTTTGGTCGACTGGGTTTATGATATTTTTTTTATTTGTCCTACCTAAAAAATATCTTTTGAAATACTAAAAAATATTATATACATCGAACATCTAAAAGTTTCTTACATTTTCGATTTTAATTGAACTTTAATTAAAATAAATGTTTTGGTGCGTTAATTTTCAGCTATGTTTTGAATTTATATATTTTTATTTTTAAACAGCTAAAGATTGAATTAAAATTTTAAAAAGATAAGAGCTTTTTTTTTTTATTTACTTTTTCAAATGTGTGTTTATGGAACAATATGGATGCATTTTTGTATATTTTTATAATCCATAAAAAGTGTATTTTCATTTTAAAATCCCTTGAAAAAAGACTGTAAAAATGTTCAAATTTTTTTCCAAAAATAAACCATTGGGAACCCTAATTCACATTTTAAATTCTTAAATTTCCTGTGCTTTCTCAAAACTAAAGCTCTTTAAAGGAAAAACACATTTTAAATTCCTTAGATTTCCTGTGAATTCGCCAAAACCAAAGGCTCTTTAAAGTGAAATATTTTTGTTCTGTGATTAAATTTCTCTGAAAACTAAAGACCCCAAAAACGAAATGATTATATTCCTATGTTAACCTAGTAATTAAAACGCAAGGAACGACAAATGCCCAAAATATGCTGGGGATATGTGTGCGTCCTTTACTTACCCAAATTAATTCCAGCCCTGCCTTGCTATCTGCCTTTTGATTCCAGAATCACGCCTCGGTGCTGGTGAATGGAACTTGCCAGATACCGGATCCGGTGTACAAGCTGGTCGGCTCCATTGTGTGCTTCTACATTCCGCTGGGCGTGATGCTGCTGACATATTGCCTGACCGTCCGCCTTTTGGCCCGGCAGCGCCAGAACTTGGGTGGTGGCCAGCAGACGGCAGCGGCCACCCCCGGATGGGCCAGTGGGTGGCTGGGGCAGGCTCCGGCCTTGGGTAAGGATCCTGTTCTTTTATTTTACCAAACCACCCACTACTCCTCCCCCCCAGTGGTGTGAAGCGAAAGGCTGCAGCAGCTTAATATGATTTTCAGTTTGCCTAAAATTTGCATTTCGTTCTCGGTTGCACTTTTTTCTGTACTCGAAACTTTACATGGCACTCGAGAAAAGGGGCGTAGGGGAAAGTGTTGAAGGGGGGGGCGGGGACGGGACCAGGACAACACTAGACAAACAATGCAGAGACATGTGCCGGATACTCCCTGATCCTTGTCCCAGGGATTTCTGGGGCCCAAAGTGCGACTAAGCCGCAGCAATGCACACAAAATCGACATTGCCGTCGACATTGAACCGGATGGATAGGGGTAAACACTCCAGAACAGCACTATCCACCCATCCATACACCCATCCCCCATCCACTCACACACAAGACCTACAAATAGGAGGAAAATCCGGCCCATATGTGTAGATAGCTAATTTCCACGTTGCCATGAATCGAAAGCCACCTACGTAAATGGCTTGTAAGCTCTGAGAGCTTTTCTGTAGTGCTCAACTAGTTTTTAAACCGAAGTTTCAGGCTTAAACTTTTCAACGAGGGCTCGTTAAAATAACGCAGAGGTGGGCCATTTTTCCAATTTCAGAATTTAAAGTTTTCAAGTTGTTAATTTCAAGATATCGATTATTTTAAAGGTTCTGAAATATGGTACTTATTTAACCCAGCTATTATCCTTATGATCCCAAATTCCGGATGGAATTAAATGAATATCTTAAAGCTGTTAGTACTCAGATATAAACGAAGTTTATTTTGTTTTAATAATAATAGAATTTCTTTCTTTTTATAATCCCACTTTTCCTGAGCTTTGAGCTTGGACAATTCAGGATCCCTCGTTTCTATTATCCCTCTACAATTCAATAGAGCAGATTCAATTTATTTTAAGCATAACTAAGTGGTTCCAAATGCCTTTGTCTGCCCGCAGAATTTATTCAGCAATGTTCCCATTTCTCATCCGATTGGATTGGCCTGATCCCCAAGGGGATAGGGAGTAATTTTCTGGGGGACAGCCGGGAGCTGAGGATGCCGAAAGTCAATACAGACGGGGAATATTTAATGGACTGGTGACTGCAGCTGAATCGCATGCACTGCAGGGCATTTTGGCGAATCGTAGCGAGCATTTAGGGGCTGCTCGCAGGACGCGGTGTCCCCGATTCGTTTGAGTGGATTTGAAGCCTCAGCTGCAAGTATTAGGGTCTGTGTGTGGGTGTGTTCGTGTATTGTGTATCTGTGAGTGCTCGAGTGCGACTGTGTTGGTGCGGGGGATTTGGGCAGTTATTTTAAGCCAAAATCTCTGCTGTAAAGCGTCCGCATTTGGGCCAGGCACGTAGGGGAATTTTCCAGATTGTTCATTTTACATAGGGAGAAAAAATACAAGGTATGTCTAATTAAACAAAAATTTTTCCATAAAAGTGTTAAACGTTTTTAAAGAAATTAAATTTTATAAAATTGGTAAGGATTTTAAACTTACTGAGAAGCATTATATCGACGTAGATAAAGTTTAAATCCTTAGGTATTTTATATTTATGTTTTTAAAGATGTGTTTAATTAGTTGGGTGGGTAAATATTTTCAGAAATTTTAATCTTCATTAATCTTCATATATTCGGATATTGAAAGGATGTTTTCGTCATTTAGAAAGCGTGCAGAATATTAAATGACCCGAATGATCCTTAGGATGAGTAAAGCTTAGGTAACTGTGAACAACCCTTTGAATAATTATGTTTTTGATTATTGGAGAGGGTAGAGAATACTAATCAGATTAAATTATATTGAACCTTAAGTAAACATACTTTTAAAGAATTTTCCTCTGTGCACAAGTTAAAAGCGATATTGGAGAGTGTGTTCGTGCGAGTTTATTAGCGCATTTGTGACTTTTCGTAGAGCACTACAGGGCTGACTACATTTTAATGGAAACTGTAGATGCATTCCGCTTAACCCGTGTTCGTGCTCCACAGAACGGCGATGCACCTGGCGCCGCCTACTGAAGCCGGGTCCGGGGAACGCCTCTTCGGTGCTGCACGCCCACTCAGCCAATTCCACGGATACGGATCTTAGCACTTTGGACAACCACGAGCTTTGGCTGCCCGATTCCAGGTGGGCTACCTCGGCACTCCGTGCTGCTGTATATATTACCATATATATTTATACACGTATTATATGTATTTGCAGCATAAAGGAACCCACGCCCACAACAATGACGGCTCTGCATCAGTTTGGAGCCGAGATGCTAAAGCTATCCCGGGGCCTGGAATCGGTGGCCTCGTCCTCCACAACCGGTTCGCCCACCAAGTCCGAATTTTCCATATCGAACCACCTGCAGATGCAGTTCCCCAGCAGTCCCCAGCGATATGCCGCCCACCTCCAGCAGTCCCACCAGCAACAGCACAACCACCAGCAGCATCCGGGCAATGTGTACCACCAGCAGGTGTCCCCCAAAGGTCGCCAGGGAACCACGGTCCTGGGGCTGTCCACCACCACGCTGGGGATCGAGCGGGAGAGCACCCGGAATCCTTGGCCAGCAGTCGCATGGGCGGCGAGCAGAGCGACGGGTAAGTGGGGGATCCTCTACGGGGGTCCTTTAAATCATACTTATAAAGTGTCTCATCAGTTAGTCTATTATGTACTCTGTTTAAAAATATTTCTGTTGTCGCAACATTAATTGACTCAACAAGTTCTGATGATACATCCTAGGTACACTGAAAAGCCTCATTTTACCCATTGCATTTATTTATTTTTTTTTTTTAAAATGTAGTTAACATACAATGGATTTTACAGTTATTTATGTGGTATTTTATCACTATAATTATAAATACTAAATTCAAATACCAATTGTATCTTTATTTCTATTTAAGTCGAGTTTTTATTAAATTGTATTATTAAATCATTAATTAAATGTTGTGTTTACAATATGTTACTTTCAATACGAAATTTTCATTAAACATATTTATTTTATTTTCAATGTGGTACTATTTTAACAATAAAAATAAAGCTTCCAAACAAAATTTCTTGAATGTAAAAAAAAAATAATTGCACCACTTACAAACTTGCTTAAAGGATTTTTAACTGTTATTTAAAAATTTTTTGTTAATGGGTGAATTTTTAATTAAATTATTCTTGACTTCAAAACATTTAATTTGTTCTTTACTTAACCAGCCACCAGATTCGGCATTGTCACAAATAATATTATCACAGACAATTAAATTCATTTAACTTTATCCCTTTGCGTGTGCCGAAAGTTTCAGTAATATTTTGTTAAGACCCTCGAAAAACGTAGACAATTGTGTTTGTGAGGAAATCCTGCGAAGTACCTGGGAGAAAGTAAAGTTTGGTTCGTTCTTCACCTGACAAAAGGACAAACAGCTGGGACCGGCAAACCGTTTTGCCCGAGTGATCCTTTCCAGTCGCTCGTTGGTCCCTTTGTTGTCGCAGTCTCAGTCGGTTTTCGAGTCCCATTTCCCCAGTTTTCCCGCTTTTCCCGCCTTTGGGTAACAATTTCAGGCCAAGTGTGCTGACCACACTGAAAGCCAAGGAAACTGCTCACCTCGAGTCCTTTTTGTGACTCGTTTACTTTCTTCTTTTCCATTTTTTTTGTTGTGCCCCCTTTTTGTGGCATTGCCTTTTATTGTCCTTCCGCTTTCGACTTGTGAAATTTTTCCTAATAATTAATTTTTTTAACGTTTTCGTTTTCCCTTTTATCAGAGCAAACTGTTTTTTTTTTATTTTTGGGCCAAAAAGGGAGAGGTACTCCCTTTTTATTTGGCATTCGAGCCGCCCAAGTGATTTTGGCGTCGACTAAGGCCTTTTGCTTAAATGTGTTTTTCATTAATTTTCTAATTTTAGTCGACTGGCTTATGTTGGGATAAGATATGCGATGAGAAATTCAATTAAAAAATTGAAATCACAGCAGACGAATATTTGTATACTGACAAGAATGTAATAAGAAATCGAATGGTTAGTCGGGTGGAAATGATATTAAAGAGCAATTGTTTATGATAAAAAGTTCTGGGAATCTTTAAAGAAATCATAGTTTTTTAAATAATTTAACTTTTTCCTTTATTATTTTTTTGTCAATAATAACCGCTTTTCTGTATCACTACACTTCATTTAAATATCAAGCTTAAGGACTTAAATTTCGTTTTCGATTTTTAAGCAAGAATAAAGGGCAGCTTAACTTACGGAATGACTGCACATTTTATCCCGTTCATATTTTCCCTTTTAACCAATCTCTTATCCCCTTTATATAATATATCATTGTGACCGTGCGCTTTTCATTCGACTCGGTGGAATATTGGGTATTGCCTCATATATCTGCCACATTGTTTGACAGTCGAACGAATTTGCCCAATCAATAAAATGGATTTCGGCTTTGGTTGCCTTTTGTGCTTTTTGCCACTGGATGGGATGCAAAAGTGGTTGCAGAGAAACGGGGTCAAAGTCGAGTGGCTTTTAATTGTTGCACAATTTGTCGTCTCATGCGGGAAAGTTGACAAATGATGTTGGCGGTACTCTAATTTTCTGGATTTGACGCAAGTGTGCAGAACTTGGCTTCAGATTTGGAAAACACTCGACACTCCGTCGGCGGTCCCTCTGTGATGTCCTGATGAGCTTGGCAGCTGTTTAATTCCTTTGTGGCTGAAACAATAACAAAGTTGGCATCAGCTCGGCATTGTTGCACTTGTATAATGAGAACTTCTCCCCCTCCCCCAATCCTCATTACTTAGCCCTGTTCCAACGCATCTCAATTTATGCGCACGTCTCGTGCAAACAAATCAAAAAACGCGAAGGATGCATAATGAGCTGACATCCTTATCCAGCGTCTTGGTCCCCAGGCAGCCCGATCCCTGCCCTCCACCTCTGTTTCCATCATCTCCTTTTGGCCTCCTGTCTGCTAACGCCTTCATTAGCAGCCAACCACGCCCCCCGCCGTCTTGGCCAAATAAAGTTGGCGCGCATTTGCATGCAAGGCAAACGGGCGGCAAGACAAAAACCGCAAAGGCAGCCTGCAAATTTATGCGCTTTATTAAAATGAATGCAAAATGAGCGGAAGATGGGAGCCTGCTCTCTGCAGAGGAAAAAAAAATACCAATATAATGGTTATAATAAATATAAGCAAAATACTTATAGTAACAGTTCTCAGAAATTAAATAATTAAGTGTAAAGGAAAATATTTGAATCTAAGATATTTTTATACAATGCTCGGACAAGTGTTAACTAATTTAAAATAAGACATCGATTATATACAAAACAGTATTATTTACATTCGAATGCAATAAACTATTAATATAATTTTAAAATAAATTTTTCATTTAATAGTTAAATATTATTTTGAATTTATAAAACTATTTAAATTTGCTCAGCGCTGTTTAGGCTGTTGGGGTGCTCAACTTTGGTCCGAAGGAGTGTTGGATACAAGTAATGTGCCTGCCAAAAGTGAGTTTTTGTCCAAAGTGACACCGAGGTACTTGTATGCAGGAAGGCTCTTATTGGACTTTGTTGAAAAACTGTAAATAAAAAATCGTATTTTTAACTAAAATCTCTATCTCGTATTTTTGACCAAAATCGGAATCACATTTTTTCGCCTCAAAGTTCATTTTTTGTCTGCTATAAAAAAAAAAAACGTCAGATCGAGGAATGTCCTACCTCGTTGAGCTGATTGCTTAATTTCCAATCCATTGGCATTAAAACATGGAAATTTTTAACTTTTCGCATTTTTTCGCAAAAAAAAACGATGCACCCCCTTACAAAAAATGCGAAAATTGATCAAACTAAGCAACGAGCACAACGAGGTATGACATTCCTCGTTCTGACTTATATTTTCGTTATGGCAGCCAAAAAACTGAATATTTTTTGGCGAAAAAAGGGTTAAAATTTTTGTTAAAAATACAAAATTCAGATTTTTGTCAAAAATTGCAAATTTTTTTTCGGATTTTCCATCGTAGCTCAGCCAAATTTCCAATGACCAATTTTCTCAATTTTTGTAGGGGTTCAACCCTAGGTACATCTGGGTGCAACCCTAGGTACATCTGGGTGCAACCCTAGGTACATGTGGGTGCAACCCTAGGTACATTTGGGTGCAACCCTATGTACATCTGGGTGCATTCCTAGGTACAAACCGTTTTTTATAGCAGCCAAAAAAGTGAGCTTTGAGGGCGTCAAATGTGATTTTTATTTGGTCAAAAATACAACATTCAGATTTTTGTCAAAAATTCGACATTTTTTCCCGGTTTTTCCATCGTAGTACAGCCAAATCAAGGCGTACAGCCAAAAGACCGACTGTTTTGAACAGCTCGCTAAATATGCTAACGATCCTTATCACTTTTAGGAAAATTTATTTTTTTACCAATTTTCTCAATTTTTTTGTTTATTTTTCGAAAAATAGCAAAAATTAAAAATTTTCAGGTTGAAATGCCAATCGATTGGAAATTAAACAACGAGCACAACGAGGTATGACATTCCTCATTCTGACTTATATTTTTGTTATGGCAGCCAAGAAACTGAATTTTTATGGCGAAAAAGGGTTAACATTTTTGTCCAAAATACAAAATTCAGATTTTTGTCAAAAATTCGAAATTTTTTCCGGTTTTTCCATCGTAGCACAGCCAAATCAAGGCGAACAGCCAAAAGACCGACTGTTTTGAACAGCTTGCTAAATATGCTAACGATCCTCATCACTTGTAGGAAAATTTATTTTTTGACCAATTTTTTCAATTTTGGTAGGGGTTCAACCCTAGGTACAGCTGGGTGCAACCCTAGGTACATCTGGGTGCAACCCTAGGTATATCTGGGTGCAACCCTAGGTACACGTGGGTGCAACCCTAGGTACATTTGGGTGCAACCCTATGTACATCTGGGTGCATTCCTAGGTACAAACCGTTTTTTATAGCAGCCAAAAAAGTGAACTTTGAGGGCGTCAAATGTGATTTTTATGTGGACAAAAATACAACATTCAGATTTTTGTCAAAAATTCGACATTTTTTCCGGTTTTTCCATCGTGTACAGCCAAATCAAGGCGTACAGCCAAAAGACCGACTGTTTTGAACAGCTCGCTAAATATGCTAACAATCCTCATCACTTTTAGGAAAATTTATTTTTTTTACCAATTTTCTCAATTTTTTTGTTTTTTTTTTTCGAAAAATTGGAAAATTTAAAAATTTTCAGGTTGAAATGCCAATCGATTGGAAATTAAACAACGAGCACAACGAGGTATGACATTCCTCATTCTGACTTATATTTTTGTTATGGCAGCCAAGAAACTGAATTTTTATGGCGAAAAAACGGTTAACATTTTTGTCCAAAATACAAAATTCAGATTTTTGTCAAAAATTCGAAATTTTTTTTCCGGTTTTTCCATCGTAGCACAGCCAAATCAAGGCGTACAGCCAAAAGACCGACTGTTTTGAACAGCTTGCTAAATATGCTAACAATCCTCATCACTTTTAGGAAAATTTATTTTTTGACCAATTTTCTCTATTTTGTAGGGATTACATCACTTTTTTTCGAAAAATGGCAAAAATTAAACATTTTCAGGTTGAAATGCCAATCGATTGGAAATTAAACAACGAGCACAACGAGGTATGACATTCCTCATTCTGACTTATATTTTTGTAATGGCAGCCAAGAAACTTAATTTTTATGGCGATAAAAGGGTCAACATTTTTGTCCAAAATACAAAATTCAGATTTTTGTCAAAAATTTGATATTTTTTTCCGGTTTTTCCATCGTAGCTCATCCAAATCAAGGCGTACAGCTAAAAGACCGACTGTTTTGAACAGCTTGCTAAATATGCTAACGATCCTCATCACTTTTAGGAAAATTTATTTTTTGACCAATTTTTTCAATTTTGGTAGGGGTTACATCACTTTTTTTCGAAAAATGGCAAAAATTAAACATTTTCAGGTTGAAATGCCAATCGATTGGAAATTAAACAACGAGCACAACGAGGTATGACATTCCTCATTCTGACTTATATTTTTGTAATGGCAGCCAAGAAACTTAATTTTTATGGCGAAAAAAGGGTTAAAATTTTTGTCCAAAATACAAAATTCAGATTTTTGTCAAAAATTTGATATTTTTTTCCGGTTTTTCCATCGTAGTTCAGCCAAATCAAGGCGTACAGCTAAAAGACCGACTGTTTTGAACAGCTTGCTAAATATGCTAACGATCCTTATCACTTTTAGAAAAATTTATTTTTTGACCAATTTTCTCAATTTTTGTAGGGGTTACATCACTTTTTTTTCGAAAAATGGCAAAAATTAAAAATTTTTAGGTTGAAATTCCAATCGGTTGAAAATTAAACAACGAGCACAAAGAGGTATGACATTCCTCATTCTGACTTATATTTTTGTTATGGCAGCCAAAAAACTGAATTTTTTTGGCGGAAAAAGGGTTAAAATTTTTGTCAAAAATACAAAATTCAGATTTTGGTCGAAAATTCGACATTTTTTTCGGTTTTTTCATCGTAGTTCAGTTAAATCAAGGCGTACAGCTAAAAGAACGACTGTTTTGAGCAGCTTGCTAAATATGCTAACGATTCTCATCACTTTTTGGAAAATTTATTTTTTGACCAATTTTCTCAATTTTTCAATTGTTCTCAAAAACTGGAAAGAAAAATCATTTTTTTGACTAAAATCTGAATCTCGAATTTTTGACCAAAATCGGAATCACATTTTTTTGCCCTCAAAGCTCACTTTTTTGGCTGCTATAAAAAACTAAAAGTCAGATCGAGGAATTTCCTACCTCGTTGAGCTGGTTGCTTAATTTCCAATCCATTGGCATTAAAACATAGAAATTCTTAACTTTTCGCATTTTTCGCAGAAAAAGACGATGCATGCCCTTACAAAAAATGCAAAAATTGGTCAAAAAATAAATTTTCCTTATAGTAATTGGGATCGTTAGCAGAGGTAGAAAGCTGTTCAAAGCTGTCGGTCTTTTAGCGGTACGCCTTGATTTGACTAAACTACGACTGAAAAGCTGTAAAGAAAAATCATATTTTTGACTTAAATCTGATTCTCGTGTTTTTGACCAAAATAATATTTTTTCGACCTCAAAGTTCAATTTTTTGGCTGTCATACCTCGTTGAGCTCGTTGCCTATTTTGCAATCCATTGGCACTTAAACCTAAAAATTCTTTTTTGGCTGCTATAAAAAAACTAAAGCTCGTTACTTAATTTCCAATCTTTTGGCATTCAAACAATTTATTAAATCGACTAGGTATTTCTTGATATTGAATATACATCTCCGTTGCCTTTGTATAATAAGCTAAGCCCGTATTTCGGTAATACCAAAACCACAATTTTCTTAAAAATATTTAAAAACTGAAAACTCATGAACAACTTTTCGAGGTTTAGCAGAATTGAATTTTAGAGCAAATTTACAATGGAGCAGACTGTTTCTTAAGCTGATTATTAAAAAAATCTGTCCTATTTTGAATTGCATACTGAAAATTTAGTAAAATTGTAAATAAAATCTGCATATTGAGGTACACATTTAAATAAAACACATACAATTTTTAAACCAAGGTATCAAATATTAGAAACCATATTAGTAAAATTAAAATCAAAGCAAAAGTATTTCAATAGTCTTCAAAATTTGAAATTTTGTAAGGATTTTATCAGCTTACAATAGTTTAGGTATAAGTAGTATTATTAACCTTTATTTTTTACATATCTAATCAGTTTATTTCACCCTTTCTTTATATTTCCAGGACTCTCTCGCAACTTTCCCAAAGATTGCGGGCGTACAAGAAGCGACGCAGGGCTTCGTCGGCGGTTCCAGGACAAGAACGGCGCTCCGGGCACGAGGACGCGGATGAGGATCTGGACACTCCCACGTCGACTCTGCGCCGGCACAAGCGTCACAACAGCCTGCCCAAGAACGCGCTCTATCCGCGACACACCACCGTACAGGAGAGCCTCGATGACGACGACGACGATGAGGAGGAGGGGAGTTCGCGCCACAAGGATCAGCAGGATCAGAAGACCAAGGGCTGCCACTCGGACACCGGAGCTGGATCCACCGCAGAAAGCAAAGCAGTGCCACATATCTGGACAGAATCACCAAACGGACTACCTGCAGCTGCCCTCCGTCTGCACCTGTCCCTATTTTGGAGACAGACCACTCCAGAATTGTGTGAAAACGGCGGAGGTGAAGATCATTTCATCAGCCTTCCGGGTGACACCACTACTACCACGGCGGTGAGCAGTTCCCCTAGCGAAATGGAGTTGCTCATGTGCAGTGGTGGCAACAAGAAGGCCCTGACCTCCAGTGTGAGTGCTGGAATGACAGGCGGAGGATCGGCAGGCGGCGGAGGAGGACCCCCGGCTATAGTCGGCTCCACACTCAGTCCACATTCTGTCCACAATCAGGGCAGTTCCCTGACGGTTCAGAGCGATGGCAGTGGCTATCTGGCGGCTCCAGGGACTCCCTGTCCTGGGAGACGAAAGTTGAGCATCTCCAAGACCGCCTCGGTGGTCACTTGGGACTCCAGTCGTCATCGCCGGCGGGGCAGCAGTTTTGGCGGGGTGCGGACATCCCTGCTGCTCACGCCCACTAAGACAGCCACCGCCTCCAACTCGTCCACCCCCTTGAGAAGATCGGCCACGCTGAGAAGTCACCAGAACATGAACTACCAGGGAGATTGTGGTGGCAAAACTAGGAACACCACATCCTCGCCCTGTATGCTTCAAAGACAGCAGACAGTGCGTTCCCATCACTCGCGGAACTCCAGTGTGATCTCCAGAAACTCCTCGCGCCACGGCAGGATCATCCGGCTGGAGCAGAAGGCCACCAAGGTGCTGGGCGTGGTTTTCTTCACCTTTGTGATCCTGTGGTCACCCTTCTTCGTCCTCAATCTTCTGCCCACCGTGTGTGCGGAATGCGAAGAGCGGATCAGTCATTGGGTCTTCGATGTGGTCACCTGGCTGGGCTATGCCAGTTCCATGGTCAATCCCATTTCTACACCATCTTCAATAAGGTGTTCCGGCAGGCGTTCAAAAGGTCCTGTTGTGCAGATATCCAGTACGAGTGCCTGGCGACCCAGTAGATAGCAGACGCCCGTGAAGCCGGGGAAATTGAAGACGATTCCCATGCCCCCCACAAGTGCGCCAGTGTGGATTTCCAGGATTCCACAGCCCCAGTGAGGGGGGTGCTCAAAAGAAGTGTGGCGGTGGCAAGTGACATATAAGTCGGTCATTTCGCCTGCGGTCCACCGCACAACGTGTCGTATACACAATCTCAGAGGGATGCCAATGCCCACGCCACTTGCTCGCACGTGTGTTTCCTTGGGGCTTAAACGCTTATGTGCCTCTAATTAATTTCAAATTCAATTTGCATGCCATTGAAAACACATGGATTGGAGTCCAGAAGACTCCCCAGTTCCCCCACAGGATTGCCAAGGTTGTGGGATTAAGTTGGCCGCAGACAACGGCATAACGAGCTTGGTGCCCTCCTCCCTGTGGTTCCTCGGCATATTACGATTTCCCCTGGCTTTCGGCAGACGGTGAGACTGCAATTAATTGCGGAATGTTTGTTTTGCAATAATATAATCCTGGAAACCGCATTAACTTTTGTGGAAATGCTGTTTAGTGGTCGGTTAAACTCAAATGCACAGACATTTCAAACAATTCCCAGGAAATTCCATTTCGAATTTCGGAAACACACTAAGAACTCTCAAGATTATTATTGTTTGAATTAGGCAGTCGATTAGACCCGAAATCCCTGAAATGAGCTCTTTAGACTGAGGTACATTTCAAAGACTTGACTCATCCTCTTTATCCAGATTCTTTTAAAGAAATGGATCTTTGTCAAACTCCAAACGATAAACGCTATTTTCTTCAGCACTTGTAAGTTGTTTACTCAATTTAAGACGAATTTTCCAATGCTGTTTAGTGTTTATAGAAAAATCCTTTTAGACACTTAAAAGGAATTCTAAAGCATATTATATTTCAAAAGAGGGTATATGTTACCAATTCATAATAAGACCCCAAATCCCTGAAATGGGTTCCTTAAACTTTGCTAAATTTAAAGATTGTTTCACTTCTGTTTAAACAGATACCTTAAATTCTTGCCAAAAAACAAATGTCACCGTGCCGAAGTTCAATCGATAAACGCTATTTCGTTTGGCGTTTGGCAATTATGCATTAAATTTATGGCAAATTTCCTACCCGCAAATGCACAAAGAATTTCATGGGGATCCATTAAAGTAGCCGACACGTACACAAATCCACGGCAATTTGTGACTTTTGTTGTTTGTTCGTGTGGCTGCCGCTGCTTTTGGCCTGGCAGATTGCTATTTTTATTTGAAAAGTTCATTCATTTTGTTTTATTTCTGTGGCCAAATGAAAAATTTCAGCTGGTCACGTAAGAATTTGACGGTCAGGATGTGAATGTGCATGTGGATGTGGATCACAAGGATCCACCCAAGTGGTGGCCAGTAGGTAGTGGCCCGAGGCCCGAGGCCCAAGACGATGGAAAAGTCGGAGCAGCTGGCTGAAGGACATCAAACAACAAGGGGCCAACTGTAATAACGAAAGCCGGATGAAAGTTTCCAATGTGCTGCCAAGTTTTAAAGCCCCAGATGAGCGGTTCGGGTTGGTTGGGGGCAAATGATAGGTAATGACGCCATTAGTGGCAGCCACTCAAAGGCCCCCTCTCGATGACACCTCACAAAACAGCCGGCAAAATGTTGTAGTGCCATTTTTGCTGACAAATTTTTAGCGCCCCCCGAAAATTCGCAGCACAGCAGGCGGCAAATGCTGGAAAGACAGACATAAGGAAACCCCCGTGGCACTTGGAAATTTATAGCAATTTTATCGCCGGCGGAAATATTTTTTCCACTTCATTGAATCCTTGGCGGGTTTGAGTCGGTTCGGTGGCAAAAAGTGTCGCACTCGGGGAACTTCATTGAACTTTAATGGCAGGCCGTCGGGCAAACAACAAAGGCCGTCAGAGACAGTCGTTGGGCCAGGTCCTAACCCACTTCCGTTTCCTCCATCGACCTCTCCTTCCGCTGATTCGGCAACATATGCTCGTTTTGGGGGCAAAGAAAATAAAAAAAAACAGTGGGAAATCCATTACAGCAGCAAGTACCTTGCAAAAGTTTTAAAAGAGTGTAAATAGTGGGTTATCAGAAACTTTCTTAGATTTCATAACCAAAATTGTTTACCTTCTTTGGTAATTTCTTTAAAAGCCTCTTACAGAGCCAGATCACAACCGAAATTCTCAGCTACACTACTTTCCTGCGAGGACCATAAACTAAAACTTTTCCAACTTGATTTCTATGATTAAAAAGTTTTTCAAACTTTTAAAATTACTAAAAGGCACAAAAACCCAAACAATAGACAAGTTCTTGACAGTAGAAAATACTCAACACATCTAAATCGAACCATTGTCTGAAGCACATAAAACCTAGAAAAATTACACAATAGCATAAGTTTAAAACGAATTTAAAACAAACTCACAGCAAACTAAATATAAAAGTTATTGATGTTTTGATTGCTAATATTTACCTATTAAGAAATAGTAAACATTGTACATTGTAGTTTGATCATTGATTTATGGAGAATAAATCAATAAAGGGGAGCATTGTGACAAAACGCTTTTACCAGTAGTCCTAGCTATAAGGAGTGGCACTTCGCCGTCGAAAACTCTGAACCTAAACTGATCTATGGAATAAGTAACTCTTGTAAATACCAGAAACCAACAATAATAACACCCTGGGGGCAATCAACTTGTGTATTATCTGTGTGTTTAGCCTAAGGGAGTGATTGGAGTCGAGGAACCCGTCAAGCCGTGTCCTGATTAGATTAGATTGATAGATTGCAGCTTGATCGGGTTGTTTTGTGATTTGCGGACAGATGGAACATATTTACGATTGTAACACTAACTATCAAACACCTCCAACGGACAATGGGTAACTGAGAGCATTTTCTATGGGGTCAAACTTAAGGTTTCCACACTGCGAAACTATCGAATTTGTTAAAGAATTTAGACAAGAAAACCCGAAACCAAGCTCAAGTTGCTTGTGCGTTTTACATACACATTTGGCCTAAGAAGCTGAATTAATCAAAAATGCTTTCGCCGAGACAGATAAGAATAAATTATAATTACAAAAAAGAAAGTAAATAGCCCAAAGTGACATATCCCCATATATAAGTGTGTATTTTACGATAGCCATAGCGAATCCTTCCTAACCTAAGTCAAAGACACTGAAACGTAGATAAAAAATATGTGAAACATATTAGCTATAATGTATTATGATTTGTACAAATGTTTTCTGATTGTATTTGATTTGTATTAAATGTGCATTACATAAATTGCCCGCAGCTGAGTTTTATTGGATACATATATTTTATATGAAATGGTAACGATGATGATGATTGGAATCTCACATGCAACCCAACAAGCCCACTCATTAATATACATATGATATATATGCCACTCAATTAATCAACAAGTGCAATGGAGGCACTTTGTTTTTTTCTACCAAGGTTAAAAACTATAAAAAAAAAACAGAAGTCAGGTAAGAAAAAACTGAGAGAAGTATATCAATGGTTTTAACCAATGTGTGTGGCTGTTAAAATAATATTTTTACAAATTTTAATACCATATATATTTACGAGAGGTAAGCCGTATCTAACTTTTTTCAACCCAAATAATGAAGTCAGGTAACTTTTAAAAGCTGTCCTTCTAAGAATAGCCCTCCGCCTAATTGGTCTAAATCCGAGCTATGTTGTGGGCTTTCTAATGGCATTAGAATGTTTTTCATTGACAGCCGGACGACAGCAGCAATTCAAATTGAGTTTCCGCTGCCCACGTTTTGTCCACTCAACCCACATTGCGTATACGACCGGTTGACCAGCGTGGGCGGCACTCGAGGTTGCAGTGTGGGCGTTACTCCAGGGACAGGCAAACCAAAGCGAACGGAACCGAGCTGGCTGCATTAGCGTCACAAGTTAAACGATAATGATAATTATTCCCGGGCACTTGACAAATTAATGCAAGCTAATGCTGCTCAATTTTGTGCTTCAAGAGGCCGCAGAATTTCGCCAAAATCCCCCCTACAAAGTTGCAAAAAACAAAAAAAAAAACAAAAACTCGTAAAAAATGAGCAAAGTCAAAATTGCGACTACTCAGCGTCTCTTAATTTTATTTGCAGCTTTAAGGGCTCGTAAAGTAGCGCTGAAAAGCGTAGAGGCCGTTTAATGGATTCCCTCTGCGCCCTTTGCCCTTTGCCCCCACCCCCTTTATAAAGAAAAAGTCCCCTTCACTTGAGAAAAAAGTTGCCATAATAAACGGTTTTTGTGCGAAGCGACAGCGCCCCAACTTGAAATTTCTGGCCAAGAGGGCCTGCGGGTAGGCGGTAAAAATGGAAAGCAATCCCCAAACTCTGAAGCACTTTCATGCGCTTTCAATCTGCATATGTGTGTGCTCAAAGGTGCGGGTGATAACAGTTTCTTTTTCCCTTTTTTTTTTTTGCAAATATTTGCGAGTGCAAACGCGGTTTGGTACTGCTCTCAAGTCCGCGGGCCTACAACCAAGCGGCGAGCGGATAAAAACCACTCACATTTGTTTGTTTATTGGTCGCACATATCAGCGGAACAACAAAGGAAAGTAAAGCCGTTAAAATATTTTTGTTTCGCGGATAAAAAACACAAGCAGCGGGGTAACGACCAGTTATACCCTATAAAATGGGAAAAATAGCAAAAATACTAAGTGTTCTCAGGGAGAATATTTAAGTACATTGTTCTTCAATGAGAACATTCGTTCTTGAAATCCGTCTAGTACATTTTGGTATAAAAGTTCTCAATATTATAACGAAATGGTGAGAAGAGAAAAGTTAAATAGAGTTTATTTAACAGCAAGTATACACTATTGACTGGACTAATAGTTCATTTGTTGAGATAGACAATGTAAGTACCGCCAACTCATCTTAATTTAAGCAAAATAAAAATATTTTCAACTTTAAAAATGTTGTTAATCTGTGTTAATATAAAAGTAATAAGGAAAACTTTTAAATTTATGCAAGAGGTATTTAATAAAAAATTATTAAAGTATTTTAAGTTTTTAAAATGGTATCCCAGTACTCAGAAGTTTAAAAAAAAATGTTGGAGGGAAGTACAAATTGCTCTATAAATATCCCAAGACCACACAAAAAATACGTTACCCCTAAGAGAGATCCCTTTGCATATTTTCCTCAAGAGATGGAACCCAAAATCAGCTTATGCAGACCACTTGGCTTTGAATGCCAAGGCTGATTGTGTAACAGGATTTCGCAGTCCTCATGTTCAATTGCCAACAAATTGTGTGCAGTTGCTGTTTTGCTGCTGAACTGCAGGGTATGAAAAGCCCCAGTTGCTGCAGATTTCCATTTACCATGGCTTTCTACCAAATGGACATGCAATCGTACATATATATATGTATAGATATGTAGTGAGGAAGTGGGGAAATCGTGCCACCTGCCATGAAAACTGTGTACATTGATTGCATTGATTTATGGCCCAGATGCTGCTCCATGCCGCTTGTTGCGCACTTTATGGCCATTTCGATTGGCTCTTTGCATCAGCACAAAAGGCTGAATAGCAATGCCTTGCCTTTTGCCAAGTGCCATGCAATTCTGCAACATTTTAAAGCCGCTTTGCGGCAGAAAGCCAGTCCAACCTCCCACACATCCGCACATCTGCACACCCACGGGTCCACCAGAGCCGAGAGACTATAGTCACATTACAGCGAATCACAATCAAATGGCAAGGCGCCGACAATGGACGGATGATAGCGGGAGGAACAGGGAATCATATCACACTGTTCCCAATTCCGCTTCCGTTTTTATTTAGCTTCTAACATCCTTAATTAATTTCTTGACTATCTAATAATATCTTTATAAAGTATTCTACACAAAATTAACTAACTAAATCTTAAACTTTAAGGTTTTTATTTTATTGTGTCACGATTCAGAAGAAGCTGTACTTATTTAATCTCTTCTTCCTATATGGCAAGTATTTTTTAAACATATTATACTTTTATCCCAATTTTAAGGTGCATTTTTCTATTACAAAAAAAGGATTTTAAACTTCAAACGTTGAAGATCATATACAATATGTATATGTTATAATTCCAGACAAGTCTAAATATAGTTTAATATTTTTTTTAAATGTATAAAATGTATAATGTTTGGTTATAGCCGATTTTTATTTACTCTGTGGAGTAGAGTAAAATTAAGTCACAGTAATCTTTAAATATAAAAATATTGATGCAATCAAATAATTTTAATAGGATCTGCAACATAAATTAAGTATAAACCACAAAATTCATTTTAATAATATTTTATTAATACAAAAATGCTGCGTTTATACTTAGGCTCTAAACCTAGAGAACATCAAAAGAAAAATAAAATGAAATTTTGTGACTTCGACGTAATACTCGAAATCGAATTGGGAACAGAGCCCAGTCTTAGAAGGGCGAAAAGCTGCAGGCGGCTAATTGAAAGCTTGCATCTGAATGGGCCAGAATGTGCCTGACAAATTGGCGAGCCGGTAAAGAAGCCGTTAACAAGGATATCCACTCACCGCCCACACGGCTCTCCTTAATGGGAAATTATATGCGGCTTTGTTTTGTTTGGGCCAGGATGTGTGTGTGTGCTTTTCGAGGCGGGAAAGGGGCAGGGGAGGTCCTTTGTCCTGACCGCAGGCAAATACCCGTTGGCTGAATCGCTTGCAATTTATGTGACAGCATCAACACAAACATACATATCACAAAACCCCATTTATGTACCTTTGTGTGGGCCGAGTGACATTGCGTATGCGACATGTTGCACAATTCAAAGGCAATTGGTCTCTGAATTTCACAATTACTCGCCTGAATGTGGACAACATGCAAATATAATATGAAGTAGCAATGAAATTACCCAACAAACGGCCCAGCTCTTTGACATCAGCAGTTGGGGCTGTCCTGATTAGATTACAGCCCCCATAATGATGATGGAACATCATTTTCACAGGTGCCTGGTCCTTGCTGAAGTGTGAATCGAATCAGAGTTCATTTGATCACAGCTCAGGTCGGAATTCATAATGACTTTAGACGGTGCCATTTTTGGCGCCTAACAGCTAATACTGCCAACGAAAAGTTTTTAATTAATTTTTGATGATAATTTGAAAGTGTTTCCACTGATATATTTTTCTAGGTGTGACATCTATCAAAACATTTTTAATAACAATGATAATTTATTTTCCTTAGAATGAATTCTTTATAGCATTTAAATTATTAAAGATGCAAAGAGGTTTTTGATATTTTCTTCATAGATTTCATAAATGAATCATAAAGCTAATTTGTGGATGCTCCGTTTCACATGTAATATAAACCACAAAATCACATCTGGCCATTTAAAAATCAAAAATTTCCTCAGCCTCGACAGCTGTCTTCGGTTTCCTCAGAAAAACTTGAGTGTAAGTTGACAAGCCTGTGATGACGTCTAATATTGATTGCTTTCAATTAAAATACCGCCAGCTGACTGCCGAAAAAGTTGACACGGCATGCCTCTGTGTTAATTTAATTTCAGGAGACTACTTCAAAGTTGCCAGCTGAGAGGCAGAGTGCTAGGATATTGACGGCATGTCCTGCGGCCAGATCCTGTCAATTCTATGCGGGCACTTTGGACAGTTTTTGTTGGCCCATTGCCAGGCTACTGACAGCACGATGGACGGGATCGGGGGCAGAGCTCTGTTTTCATTCATCCACTCAACTTTAATTCACTCAGTACAAGCTCCGGTTTAAAATTGAATTAGTTTTTTGTGAGCACACAGTGAACTTTTTGTGCGTAGCTAATGGGTCAAAACAAAATAAGACCATTAACATATGCAACTGAAAATCCCTTTCAATTTACAATTAGTAAAAAAACCCGCTTGCTACATTGCTTTAAATAAATAAAGGAATCGTAGTGAAATCGTAGAGTAGCTAGAATTGTGTTTTTCTCTTTCCTTAAAATACTTTCAAATTAGGGTTATTATTATAGGGTCATCTTAATAATATTCCTAAGTTACTAACTTTTGTATTATATTAATATGTTTCTAGATCCAATTGGCAGTTGTTAAAAACTTAAATAAAAAACATTAAAGTAATTTAAAAATCTAGAATAAATGTTCAGCGAACTTTTATTAAAATTTGTATGTTGAAATAATGGAAATGATATCAGAAAAGACACTTTATTAATAAATTCCTTTGATTAGCATTTAAAATGAGCTCTCTTGCCAGGATAAGAAAATCCCGCTAATGTTTTCTACGTCTACTGATGCTTGATTCATCCGGGCAATTATTGTGCCAGCTTATGTCTCCATTTATGGGCTTTGGCCGATGGCCCAGGGCCGATGCAAATGCTCCTGCCATTGAATGCATTATTTTCCCAGCTAATCCCATGGAGACCGGGCACTTTGGTAGTCGGTAGTTTTTTGTTTTTCCCTCGGAGATGGCCTGCTTCCCGTTGCCATGACTGCCGTTGACTGGCATTTTGAGGGGGAATTATGGCAGGACATTTGTCTTCGGACCGGCAAGCTCAACTGTGCAGTGCGCTTATCAAATATCGTGTAATATAAATGTCCCTTTTGGCCCGGCAGACACGCATAAAGGTAGTTAGCAGTTAGGGGAAACGGAAGTGAAAGTATAAGTGGAAGTGGAGCAAAGTGAAAGGCATTTCCGCTGACGAAACCGAGCCGAGTGACGAGAGCACAAAAAGCACAACACAATGCGAACAAAAAGGTAATCATCTAAGCGCAATGGGTGCCCCAAAGTAGGCGGCAAAAACTGAAACAAATGAGTCCCTATAAATACACACGTAGCATTGCCACATTCCCCATACCATCCACATCCCATTTTCACCATCCATCCAACCGGATTCGAAAGTTAGAGCAAGTCACTGGGCAAAGAAAAGGGGAACTTTTCGCTATGTGGGTGGTGGCTGGGTATTTGTGTCTGTGACACAATGAAAAATGCAAAGCGCAAATGAGTTGAAAACTTTGCCATAAGTTTCGGTGCGTACGACGTGCAATCGCAAAATTAAAGGCGACTTTTAGGCTTACAAAATCTGAAAACTTTCTTCAACAGATACGCGTAGACATTACAAGCGGAAAAGGGAAATTCGAGAGGGTACATAAGCTCCTGACTCGTCAAAGGGAATATATTCAGCCCTTTTGGGCTTAGCTCAGAATAAAATGCAGTTTTACAAGTCAACATTCGGCTATCATTATAGAAAGCTTTTAGTATAGAAAAGGAATATTTGAAAAGAATGAAATTTATAATTAGAAATGTTTAGTAATAATATTTGATTTTTTATAACATCTAAAGAGCATCTAATTATCACCCTTAAGAATATTTTGACTTTTGTAGCGGAAACTTCCCTCAAAATTGTTTGGAAAAAGGGCTGTTTATCAGTGACAAGCCAAGGCAACACAGACATGGGCTTATAGCCGCTTTTCGCGGAGCTTCGTTAGTCGAAAAAGTGAGTTGGGCCCACATCTGCTCGTGCTGCAAGATGTTAAGTAAATATTGGGACGCGGTAACGCAAATATTATTTGCATTTTAACTCGACTTGTTTTTAATGTGCTGAATAAATATCACCGTGTACAAAGGATACGAAGGAATGCGGTTCCAGTTCAGAGATCCGGTTCGGCCTTCTTGGCAGCCAGCTTTTGCAGCAAAGTCAGGAAGCTAAACGCCTGCGTTATAACCTGAAATTTAAAATTTTAATTTAATCAATAATATTTTTGGTATAAATATTAAAAACCCCTACCGATCTCAGACGATTCACATCCATCACATAGAATTTGCCGGCACTCACGTGGACTGCCCGTCGACTGTTGACCAAAAGATAGGATGTCCTGGCGATGAAGTGGGCGTGTTCCACCATGAGCCTCGCCAGAAGGCATCTCCAGATCGAATGCTATGCCTACTCAGCAACTCACCGCAATAGGTGAACATCAGAAGCTCGAAGAGGGTGAGTCCCAGGTACTGAATTGGTTAACAATCCCAGGACCTCTCGGTCCCCGAAACTCCCACAAAAACCAGCAGGCAGAGCTGGAAAGTGATCTGTAAGGACTTGACCAGGCAGTACGGGCTGAAAGGTTCTCCAACTCCACGGCACAGTGCAGGATGAAGCGATGCAGGCGAACGCATTCCACCAGGCGCTGTGAAACACATTTCCCCCAGAAGACATCGGCTTTTTGCCGACATTATCAACAGATCAGTGGGTGCTCCTTTAGTACGGCATACTGATTCAACTCCCTGGTAGAGTCCTTACAGTAACTCATCTTGTAGTAATCTAAAAGTAAAAGAAAGGCTGTTGTTAAAATCTGCATATAAGTTAAATTTAAATAGAAAACCAAAAAAACATACTTTTAATATAAAAATATTTAATTAAGCTTGGTGGTATAGTACAATTTAGTTTAAATTAATGTACTAAATAAGCCAGAATTACACGATGAAAAAAGTTTTAAATCCTTTAATACTTTAATTGAAAATTTTTTGCTATTTTTTGCTTAAAATTTAAAAAACCAATGCTTCATTATGCTTAAATATATAAAATCTTAAAATGTATTACGTTTTTTTCATTGTTAGCAATTTAAAGCATCATGTTGTCAAAAAAAATAGTTTATAATGATGAAAAGGTACTATACTAAAAAATAATACAGTTGTTTTTGCAGTGAAAAAAAATACGTTGTTGAAAGTCATGACTTTAGGGATAGAGTCTTTAAGTAAAGAGCACGTAATATATTAAATGGAACTTATTCTTTGGTTAGAACATTGTACTCTTATGACTTTTGACTTTTGACATTTTCTTAATGTTTAGTAAAATAAATAAAAAATATACAAGGAAAAAAAATTATATGGAACCACATGTAATTTGTATTTCCCGCCTATTTATTTTTTCTCCGTGTACCAATAACAAACCTCAGGCCATTAACGGACTCCCCGGCCAGCAGCTTGGCATGGGCGTCCAGGTTCTTTAGGCTGCAGTAGAGCACATCGAACTGGGCCAGCAGCAGCAGGCTGAGGGTGACAAAAGGGATCCCCCAAAGCCAAAGGTCACGCCCACGAGGACCTGGCCGAACAGCTGGGTGGCATACACCGCCGAATATGTGACGGGGGCCAGGGCGTCGAAGGGATACCAGCACTGCAGGGGCAGCATCCGGATGCCCAGCATCAGGGGCGAGACGCCCCAGGAGATCACGCCCAGCAGGCAGGCCATTATCCACACGGCCGTGAAGTTCCAGGACTTCCGGAAGGCCGCATGGCTGCTCACAAAGGTCACCCCGGCCAGCGAATGGTGGCGATACTCGCGGTTGATGTGCTCCATGTAGGCCAGGAGGCGTCGGGAGCGGAGGCACCAGTAGATGGTCCATAGCCGGTGAAAAAGTATATTATGGTCATGGTGAGGGCATCGGTAATGGCCTGCAGTTCGCCCGTTGGCAGGACATCCAATGTGGTTTTCGTAAACAGGACTCCCAGATGCAGCGAGGTAAAAATCACCATGGAGCAGTAGACCTTGGCCAGAAGTTTGCCCACCATTTGCACCCACTTTGGCCAGCATTTGGGCACCCGAGGAGATGGTTTCATACCCATCGCCAACTGCAATCTCATCAGCAGCGGAAAAGATTCGATTCCCTGGCCGGATCCAGACTAATATCATACCTGATGTCCGCATCGAAGTTGCCGTGGAACTGAAGACTGGCCATTAGAAACCAAAATCGAACTGGCTATGGACTGCTCGAGTCTTTGGGAGCTGCTATTTAAGGGACCCTAAATTTATGCATTAATGAGTTTTTAAAAGTTTCCTATGGAAACGGTGTCTGGTGGGCGTGGCTCATAATTAACCAACTAAATGCCTAATTGCCTCTGAAAAGCGGTTCAACAAGGTTGGCAAATATTTCGGAATATAAAGCACAATTTGTACAAGAAGTGTACTTATAAATTATAATTTACTAAGTGGTTCAAGGAGGTTTATCTCTGTCGGCTTAGGTTTATCACAATCAAAGGTGTCTGGGTGGGTGTGGCTCATAATTAAACCAGTGAATGACTAATTAACTTTTTAACAAAAGTTTGGTAAAGTTTTCCCAATATTTAGAAATACCTAGGTCAAGTCAAGCAAAGAAAAATAATTAACAAACCAGTCAATCAGTTGAAGGATGTTTTAAAATACCTGTGAAAAATGTATTATATTGCAATAAAATGTTTACCTTGTTTTAAAAAGCATACAATTTTCCTATATATGAAAATCAAATTACACCTGCAATTGTGTTAAATGTTTAATGCTTGCGAGGGCACACCAAAAACCATTGTAATATCCCTAGTATTAAAGTTTAACTTTTGAATAATACCCATGATTTTACGCATTTCCTTAATTAATGCATCGCCGCATTAGCCTATTAATACCATTATTAACTTTCCATTGCAAAATTGTCGGCCTTGGGTGCGAAAATAAATACGAACAACCTAAAACCGCAGACAAATTGCCAATTACATTCCTTTTTATTTCCAGTCACTTCTCCTATTAATTGTCACTACACCATTTTGCATTGCAGACAGGGGGCATTGCGAATAACGTCAAACTTGACCTTCGGCGGACAGAAATATCCTTAAAAATAATTGCAGCGCAATTTGCATTTATTGAATATGAATATGAAAGTCCGTAGAGGTTATTACCCACGCCTAATTGCCCCAGAGCTTCGTGGCATTCAACATTGAACATTCGACATTAGTGAGAAATGAAAGGAAACGGGTGAAATGGCTCATGGAAAATGCTAATTGCCGAGTGAACTTCGCACACCTTGCAGGTGGCAAAAACCAAACCATATGTTAGCGTTTCGTGATCATGTAAATTAGTCCCACCAGTGAGGAATTTAATTAGCCCCCAGCGACATGCAATTAATTCCACAAAATAACGCAGGTTGACAAGTGCTTTTGGAAACTTTTGACCGGCCATCCAATACATATAAATGCGAACTTCCTTGTGGGATTTTTACTTCATTTCGAGAAATTGTTACACATTGTTAATGGGAAGTCTGAAATCTGGCCCGCGGGTTTATGTCTGAGTTATCTCTGGTGCTTGGCAGCTACTTGGCCAAATTGTTGTAGGGCTGTAAAATGGCGAAACTTTACGGCGGCCAGCTTCTTCGTTGTTTTACACCCAAAAGAATTAATGAACCAAAAAAAAGAGATGAAATTTTCTCGATCTGAGAGTGAGCAATCTCACTTAATCAAGAAGAAACGTTCTTGAAATAAAGGTGAAAGTGCTCTCGACTTTTGGCGCAATAATAAACATTGATAAATGTACGTGTTTTTGATACAAAAGTAAAATTCCAAGATAAAATTGTCTTAATTTGAGAATTCGCATAGTCAACTATTCCAGAGAAATTTTCTTGAAATCAAGACGAAAGTGTTCTTGGGTTTTGTTCATTTAAGAATAGTGATGAAAGGAATTTCGATTTTTTTTGCGATATTAAAATAGTATTTATCTCCTTCTCAAGAATTTTGGATTGAAGTGATCTTGGCTTACTTTTAAGATCGAGAAGACACTTATCTTTGAGATCTGAATTTTTTCTAGGTGTACATATCTGTCTGTTCAGTTCGGTTTAATTTTAGTACCTATATATGTATATATTTGCATTCAGCCCCGATTTGGGTTCTTGACTCTGTCAGTCTGTTCTCACGCATGTCAAGAGCTGTTTCGAGTGAAATTCACCTGCTGTGATTTATTCAATCAACTTCTGCGACGTTCCACACAACAACTCAGACTCAGGTTGCCTTTATTATTTAGACATCTTTGTTGTCTCTGCCTTACGCGAGTTTAATGTCACTCACCGGGCTAAGCAAACTTGGCTGCCACATTTAATCTGCATAATTTTTATGAAAATTACAACCAAGAACCGAGGGGGAATTTCGTAGCAAGGCGCAGGCGAATAAGATACAATTTCACTCATAGCCAAAAAAGTAATTTTAAGATGTTCAACATTTGCGGTGGTGCTTTAATTGTAGTCGCACGTGTCGTATGCTTAATAAAAAGTTCAATTCTTCGTAAATTACAATTTTCTTTTTGATACTTAAAAAAATGACCAAAACTTTGTAAATTAAAAAAATGCAAACATATTCATCAACATAAATTTAAAAAAACGTTGTAAAGACATAACCTTTAAGTTAGTATTCTTTCTTCTTTGTACATATGTATGTTTAAAATACAAAAAATGTTGCAATTGTTAAACGTAAGAAAACAAATACAGAAGCTAACATTACTTAAAAAATGTAACTCGTAGTTGTTCACTTGTAAACAATTTTCCGATTAAAATTTGAATACTATCTGCAAGCTAATAAAGTGCTCTTTATTTATTTGCCCATATTTTTTCTGATGATTACCCAGCTGAATAAATGGCAATTTACTTCAATATATTAACATTTTAAAACAAATATACAAATAAAAATTATTATCTCCTCTAAAAAAAAAGACGTAAGGAAATACAAAAAAAATCGTTTGAATATAAAGTATGAATTCCACTTTTTTCATGCGTGTAAAAAATTGATTGAAATAGTTTTGCCGCAAATCTCACTCCATATTCATATTTCCTTTTGCGTACACATGCACAATTTAATACTCGTTCATTATATATTCCCATAATCCAGTGATAAAATAAAGTTTTTAAAAAAGAATGCATTCATTTTGCTTTTAGTGCCACCTGGCGATTGCACAGTTTTTAATTAAATGTCGCTACGTACATGCATGAAAATAAAATAAATTCCCCTCTACCAGGAAAAATATTTTTAGAGCTTTGTGAGTGGAGTCCCACCCCGCAGACAATTTCATCTGGATTTCCGCGGACCTGGAAGCGATTTCATTGTGCAGCAAACTTTTTAATTAATTGCGCTGGCCAATTTTTCGGCGGCAGCCAAACGCTGTAATTGCAATTGAGTGTTGCAGGGCAGTGGGCCAGGTGAAAGTGGAAAGTGGACCGTAGAACGTGGACCACACGGACATCGCTAATTTGGTGCCGCCAGACAAGCGGGAAAAGCGGGTAAAGCGGGACTGACGGGTCAATCAGTTGGCCATTTGGGTGGCCAGTTGGCCAGTTGGCCAGGTGGGTGGTTCGAGCCATTCTGGCCAAAGGTCCTTCAGTCACGCGCTCCGCTCGCCTCATGTTTGCTAATTTATGCGGCGCTGCAGCCGCAGGGCGACGGTAAACAACGAGCGGTAAAAGTTTCCAACTGGCTCTCAACAAGCAGGAAAGGTTCAGATGGAAAACAGAGGCTTAGGATACCCTTCAGGAGATTTATCTAGAACAACAGGGGATTGATAGAGATCATACCAAACATAACTACACCCAAAATAAACTAACCCAGATTTAAAAATTCGTCATTCATTAAGAAAATACATATGATTTCATATTCTTAATTTAATAAATTAAAAAAAAGTTTTAAAAAAAAAAAAATTAACTTAATTAAATTAAATTTAAATCATGGTATTTTCGTGGACCAGAAATTTTTATTAATTTTATTTTGAAACGTTTTTGGAAAAAGTTCTGAAATTGAATAATCAGTATTTAAAAAGGCTTGGAATTCTTTAACATATGTACCAAAACAATTTATTAGGATTTATGTTCAAAATGTTTCCTTAAATTTTATTCCCAATTTAATACAAGTGATTTTATAGCTAAAGATGACAAAAAAACGTTATAATTAATAATTTCCAATGAGATTACAAATAAATTACGGATAGGACATCAAAAATGATTTTAAGTAAACTTTTCTAAATCTAAATAAGTTTAATTTGATATTCCCAAAGACATGTTAATTTGAAGAAAAACCTTGAAAGCTATTTATGCACCCTTAGCAAGGGTATAAAAGGGGCACTGATGGGAAAGCGGAAAAAGAAATGGAAATGAGAAGTGGAAACGGAAAATGGGAAACAGGAACAGAAACAGAAACAGCAACAGGAACAGGATCGGAAGAGGTCTGGCTGCTGGCCACGCCTGTCATTGTTTTTGCCGCTCTTGTTCGCGCTTAAAACTTTGCTCTCGCTTCGATACGTCCCGCCCACATTCATTACACATTGATGGCACATTGTCCTGCCGGTCCACCCACTCCCACCCACTCCCTCCCACTACCACCCACTCCTCATCCGCTTTACAGTCGAATGTTGCCTTTTATTTCCTTCGGCCGCTGCACAAAACAATTTGTCAAACAACAAGCGAAAAACTTTCTTCACTCCAGGGAGGTTAAGGTTCAACACATTTCCACTTTTATGAGGACCAGTTAACCCTACAGAAAACCATTTTGCATTGATAGAAAAACTTTTAGTTACACTTTACAAAGTTCCATTATTTATTTTTACTAAATTCAGTAGCAAATATTATTTGCATAATAGTATACATTTGAAACTAAATTGCCCTTGCTAAAAGTTGAGATTTTATTTCAGGTGTTTGACACAAAAAAAAACAGTAGAGCTAAATATTTTGCTATCATTTTGGCTTAAACTATTTGTATTAGGAGGAAATATAATAATCATCAATAATCAATCAACAAATAATTCAATCATTTCTGAATCTCTTAAGGTTCTGATATTCGTCAGAAAAAGTTAACCGGTAGTTAAATAGCTTGGAAAAACTATTTCGTTTCTCAACGTGATGTTAATTTATCATATATATATCTTTATAGTTAATATCATATCTTTTTATCTCTTATCAAGCGATAAAGATGGAAGTTCAGCCTGACAAAACTGAAAAAAAAGATTAGAGCAACATTTTTTATCAGATTTGTTATTTTGACCG